TCTCTTGTGCCGGTTATCCAATTTGCATCACAGTATCCTTCAAGTAACGCTGGTTACTTTGTGTAGTGCAAAACATAATTTTGAGTATGCTTCAAATAGCCCAATACACGTTTCATAGCTCTCCAATGATTTTCATTTGGACTAACTGTAAATCGACTTAGTTTGCTCACAACACAAGCTATATCCAGCCTAGTATAGTTCATGACATACATTAGACTTCTTAGTATACTAGCATACTCATTTTGAGCTTTGCTTTCACCAGTATTCTTTGAAAGATGTAAATTAACATCTACCGGGGTCCTTACTAGTACAATGTCTAGATTCTTGCACTTTCCAAGAATCTTCTCAATGTAATGAGACTGTGATAGAGCTAATCCTCCATATGTCTTATGGATTTTAATCCCTAAAATAACATCTGCAACCCCCATATCTTTCATATCAAATTTACTTGTGAGCATGCGTTTGGTCGCCTTGACAACCTCATTATCGCTGCCCATTATAAGCATGTCGTCTACATACAAGCACAAAATGGCAAAACCATTATGAGTGTTCTTAACATATACACATTTATCACACTCATTAATCTTAAAATCATTCGACAACATGACTTAGTCGAATTTAGCATGCCATTATTTCGGTGCTTGTTTCAAGCCATAGAGTGACTTGATCAGCCGACATACTTTCTTCTCTTGTCCTGGAATAATGAACCCTTCAGGTTGTTCCAAATATATTTATTCTTCCAAATCCCTATTTTTGAAAGCCGTTTTTACATCCATTTGATAGATTTCAAGCCTATACACCGCTGCTAGGGCAATTAGCATCCTTATAGATGTAATTCTAGTAACAGGTGAATAGATGTCAAAATAATCAAGACATTCTCGTTGCTTGTATCCTTTTATCACAAAGCCTAGCCTTATATTTATCAATAGTACCATCCGCTTTCATTTTCCTCTTGAAAATCCATTTACATTGTAGTGGTTTATTACAAGGAAGAAGGTCAACTAATTCTCAAGTATGGTTTGACAAGATGGACTCAACTTCACTATTGATAGCTTCTTTCCAGAACGGGACTTCTGGGGATGTCATAGCCTCTTTAAAGGTCCGAGGCTCATTCTCTAACAAATATGTTAGAAAATCAGGTCCAAAAGACTTAGAAGTTTTTTGTCTTTTACTACGTCTAGGTTCATTCTCCATAGGATCGCTTCTAGGTGTAATATCCCGAGGCCTCTTATCATTGTTAATCGGCTCATATATTTTGTTATACGGAAACATATTCTCAAAGAACGAAGCGTCCCTTGACTCAATGATCGTATTAACATGTATATCTAAGACCTCAGACTTATGAACAAGAAATCGATATGCATTACTATTAATAGCATATCCAATGAGGACACAATCAACGGTTTTCGGTCCTATTTTAACCTTTTTAGGTTTAGGAATCACAACCTTAGCCAAGCACCCCCATACCTTGAGATATTTCAAATTAGGCGTTCTGCCTTTCCACTTCTCATAGGGAGTTTGTTGTGTCTTTTTGTGGGGTACTCTATTTAAGATAAAATTCGCCATCAAAACAGCTTCCCCCAACAAATTCTGTGGTAAACCGGAACTAATCAACAATGCATTCATTGTTTCCTTTAAAGACCAGTTTTTCCTTTCCGCCACTCAATTAGCTTGTGGCGCATAAGGAGGAGTAATTTGGTGAATAATACCAAACTCAGAACAAATTTCTTTAAAAGGAAATTCATATTCACCTCTTCTATCACTTCTTATCATTTTAATTTTCTTATTTAACTGAGTTTCAACTTCAGACTTATAAGTTCTAAAAGCATTCATAGCCTCATCTTTGCTACTAAGCAAATAAACATAATAATACCTCGAACATTCATCTATAAAAGTGATAAACTACTTCTTACCACCCCTTGACGGTATTGTTTTCATATCACATATGTCTGTGTGTATTAAATCTAAAAGTTCTGTGATTCTATTATCTATAGAATAAAAAGGAGGCTTAGAAAACTTAGATTCAATACACACTTGGTATTTTTCACTTGGACAGTCAAATTTTGGCAATAACCCCATGTTCATTAATTTCTTTATTGACTTATAATTAACATGTCCTAGTCTAGCATGCCATATATCAGGAGACTCAAGCACATAAGCAGAAACAACTTTATTCATAACATCATTGGGTGTAATAGTCATTACATTCAACTTGAACAGACCATCACTAAGATAACATTTTCCTACATACATCTCATTTTTTGAGAGTACAAACTTATTAGATACAAACACCAACTTGAAACCATTCTTGCTAAGGAGAGATCCGGACACTAAATTTTTGCGTATGTCTGGCACATGTAGCACATTGTTTAGTGTCACAATTTTCCCAGATGTCATCTTCAGAGCAACCTTTCCAACACCTTTAACCTTAGAGGTTGATGAATTACCCATGTAGAGTTTTTCATCACCTTCCACAAGCGTGTAAGATGAGAACATTGATTTATTGACACATATATGACGAGTTGCTCCAGTATCAATCCACCATTCTTTGAGATTTCCCACCATGTTGCACTCGAATATCATAGCAGTAAGATTGATATCATCAACACCACAGGAAATCTGTTCCACCACATTCGCCTGAGTCTTCTTTCTTTTCTTGGCTCTACCGTCTTTGGCACGATGTCCAGACTTTCCACAATTTTAACATTTTCCAATGAACTTTTTCAGGACTTGGGTGGATCCCTCTCCATACTTTTTCCTCTTCTTGTTGGTTTTCGATCCTTCTTCAACAATGTTAGCCCTTGAGACTTCCAGATTGTTGCCAACTTTCTTCTCAGAAAGCCTATTGTCTTCCTCTATCCTCAATCGAACAATTAAGTCTTCAAGTGATAACTCATTTCTCTTGTGTTTGAGATCATTCTTGAAATCTTTCCAAAACGGTGGTAACTTTTCAATGAAAGCAGCCACTTGAAATAATTCACTAATCATCATACCTTCAGCATGAATGTCATGCATGATCACTTCAAGTTCTGGAACTTGACTTAAGACGGTTTTAGAATCTACCATCTAGAAGTCCAGAAATTTGCCGACAATGAATTTCTTCAACCCAGCATCTTCTGTTTTGTATTTCTTGTCCAAACTTTTCCACAACTCCTTAACCGTTTTCAGCGGACTATAAACGTTGTAGAGGGAATTGTCCAGACCATTGAGGATATAGTTGCAACACAGGAAGTCAGAATGCTTCCATGCATCTACAGCTGCAACCTTTTCCTTGTTTGTCTCTCCTTCATCCAACTTAAGAGCATCCTCAATGAGGAACCTTGCCAAATTCAAAGTGGTGATATAGAACAACATCTTCTGTTGTCATCTCTTGAAGTCAGCCCTATTGAATTTTTCTGGCTTCTCTCCATGAGTCGGAACAGACGCAATAGGCGTCATCGATGTTGTAGCCATTTTTTTTACGAAGACAGAAATTATTGAAAAGGCAACAATACAAACACACACAAATTGTCTTAAGATTGTTGATTCCTTAGAGGGGACAAATTGTCTTAAGATTGTTATCACGAGGTCTCTTATAATAGTGCTTGTATATGCAAAACAGAGTTGTTCGACAAACCTGAAGTCACGTTCTGACGAGTAATCCGAATGTTGACGAATGATCCGAGCCCAACGAATTCACGTTGTGTCCTTAAGACAATTTGTCCCCTCCACCGGTACCCAAGGTTTTTGAACAATTGCCTCCCAGGATAGAACGGATTGCCTTTCCTATGAAGCAGTACTTCTTCAAAGGAAACTTTTGAACGCAACTTTGCAGATTAATCGCACGAAAAATGACAATGATGAAGAATAAGAGAGCAATAGAAAAAATGTTGCGCTAAAACACAAATGTTTTTTTGTTTTATTTAAAAACAATGAAGAGTCACGAAGAACCGAAAATTTTTGTTCGGTTCATGAACAGACATATCTGTCCGAAAATAAATGGGCGAACAATCACGAACAGACATATCTGTCTAAAAAATAAAATAAAATAAAATTCTGAACAAACATGTCTGCTCGGTGAAAAACAAAATTGCCTGATCCACACTTCTCATTCACCTTCTATGGGATTTAGATACCAAAATCCCAACAAAAACTCTAAGCTCCTGAGCTTCGGAAACGTTACGGGCCAAGGGGACTTCTGCTTGGTCGAAATAAATGCGGGGTTGGGAGAAACTACTAGCTCCTTGGGATTCTCGTCGCCGAAGCTCAACTCTTCCGATTCAACTAAATGCCGAATGTCTGGTATTATGCTCATCTTCTTTGAGCTTATTCGCAGACAAGTCAAACTCGGGGGAAGCACTGGCAACGTTTCAAGGTTGTCGCAAAGAAGTAAATCAAGGGTTTGGAGACGGTTTAGCAACCAGATTGACTGTGGTAGTCTAGAAATACAACTATATCTTCTTCTTTTTTTTTTTTGGTAACCCAGGGAACCCCCGCACAGTCGACAGCCGGGAGGTAAACCCTGGGGGCGACACGTGCTAGCCACCACACACGTGCACCGGTTAAGTCACCCTGCGGCGCCCGGGATTCGAACACTCAACCTTTTGCGAGAGGAAGAGTGCCATTTCCAGCAGCGCCACCCAGGCGGGTGGTAAATACAACTATATCTTAGGATCAATATTTTCAAGAATTGCAGATTGCGAATTTCATAAGGAATGCTTCCCTCCAAACTCGTACAGTGGGAGGCATGGATTGCTTCAAGCTTGCTTAGCTCACAAATGGCACTGGGAAACTTTCTCACAGGACAATGCTCCATCTTAAGAACTCTCAGTAGATGCAGGTTTCTCATGGAATCAGGCAGTTCCGAAATAGGCGTCCCCGATACGTCCAACTTCACCAATGAGCATCCTAGTTTGCCGATAGATTCTGGAAGTTTCTGTATCCGCCGGCAGGCCCTCAACGACAACCGTTTAAGTTCCACCAAACTTCCAATTGAATCGGGGAGTTCGAGGATATTCGCATTTTCCAGCAAGAGCATCGAAAGAGCTTCTATATCGCAAATGGATTTGGGCAGCTCAGTTAGTGAGCAGCAATTGGAGGCACTAAGAGTTTCGAGTTTCTTCATACGATGTATCGATTTAGGGATTTCTTGTACAGAAGTCCCATCAATGATGAGCTCTTTCAGCGCTACCATGTTTACCCATTTCGGTTGGCAACTGACAAAGATTTCTGCATGATTTCAAATTCAAGCAAACCAAGCATCTTAGAACACAAATTGAAGGGTCTACACTGACCAATTCAAGACAGCTTTCGAGAATCAACATCTCCAACTGCGGGTAACCGGAGAAGTCGGGAGTTTTCATCATTCATGACACCCTGTGAGGTTCAAAACTTTCAATTGTGGCATCTGCAATCCAAAAGAGAATATATTTCAGACCAAGTTAATTCCAGGTGATGAGTCAAATAAAATGAAACATGTTCCATGTCACCTTGATTTGACTCCAGCCCTTCCATTTATGAGTGACCTTGCTCCGTGATAAATCAAGAATCATCAACTTCTTCAGATGCAAGTTCATGGCTTCAAAGGTCTCCGGGCACCCTCGCCAGTCGAGCCACCTTAAATTGGAGAGTAGATTAGTGAAATCTCCCTGGATATATGCATTGTCCAATTTGAGGAACCTCAGCTCGGACAGGCTTTGAAATTCTTCCCATGTGAAACACTTGTCTGAACTAGCGTCGACCTTGAGACAGAGGGCTTGAACCCTCTTCGTTCCCTGTAGATTGAAAGAAGAAAAGATAAGTGAATCCTAGTGTTTAGAGTCAGGAAGCATGGCATACATAGTATTCCAAAACATGAATATTTTACTTTTTTTCTCTTTAAGGTATTGAGGGAATCCTTGTGATTCCACAGCCCGCTGCGCTTTCCAGGGTTCGCAGGGTCTTCCTCGAGGACAATTGCTTGACCAAGGTCTCTCAATGGATCATTCACCAAGAGCTCGTTATTCTCTCCGATTTTCACCAGGAACGCGAGAAGGAGACTCTCAATACCACTACAAGGATAAAAACCAGAGTCCTCCCACATGTATAAGGGCATTCTCCTGTCCTTTCCTTCAAGAAAACAAGCTATATCGAGAAATATATTTCTTGCCCCTTCATCTAGAGCTTCATAGCTAGTCATGAACGCTTGCTGGACGGAAAGGACTTGCACTTCCTTTAGTTTCTGTAACGTCTCAGTCCATATTTTTTTGTTTTTTCTGTACAGAAATGAACCCATAACCTCAATTGCTATAGGAAGCCCTCCAGCTGGGGGAACAATGTCCTTGGACAGTTTACCATAGCCCTTATGAGGAGCACTTTCCCCAAAAGCGTGTCGACAGAAAAGACGGAGGGATTGATCTGCGGCCATAGGCTTAACTTCATAAGTCGCAACCACTTCAGGGATCTTAAGAAGGTTGGGGTTTCTGGTTGTTACAATTATCCTGCTTCTCGGCCCAAACCAGCTTAGCTTTCCAGCAAATGCTTCGAGATGATGCTGCTCATTGACATCATCGAGCACGATGAGAACTCTCATGTTGCGAAACTCATGTTCGATGTGGCAAATAGCTTCTTGGAAGGAACCATAGCTTATGTGTTCTCGTTTTAGCAGTTTAGAAACCAGTTGGCTTTGCAGATGCTCGAGGGACTCGGTTCTCGATATTTCTCGGATGTTTCCCAGAAAGCAACAGCCTTCAAACAGAGGATATAGTCGGTTGTAAACGAACTTTGAAAGAGTCGTTTTCCCAATCCCCTTGGTGCCATGTCTTCCGACCATTCGGGCATCACTGCCGTGTATATCAACTGCTTGTCCATTGCAATAGTCAACGTCGAGACTTCTCATCATCTCTCGGACTTGATTATCGATTCCGACTGGCATGGAAGCACCAATTAGTTCAGCTTCCTTCAGCTGCCGAGTGACATACAAGATGAGCTAGTACATAAGCCTGCCATTCCAAGCAATCAAAATGAGTGAATGAAAACAACGTATGATCATGAGAAACTAAAGAAAGAAATAACAAGGAAGGCAGCAGAATGAAGCAGAATACGCGAGTTATACCCAATTAGTCACCCACGAGGACAAGGCAACTTGAGAAAAGTCATGAACGTATATGACAAACAAAATCAATCACAATACGGAATATAAATTTGTGGAATTAGTGTATGCTCCACATGAGTTCTTAATCATGATTTGGGTCATCTATTATCATGTTGGACCCGGTAACCATACAAGGTTTTTGTTGTCTCTAAAGACTGAATGGTCATCCAAACGGCCTATTCTATTCGATGAATCACTAATTCTTCTGCGAACTTAGGATTTACAGGTGCAAAGTGCTCGTCATCTCCTCTCCCAAAAGAAGAAGAAGTTATCGATGTCCCACTCCCACCTCCGATGTGTGGCTAAGTAGAAAAAGTGTGAAAAGCTACTAAAAGAAGTCCAAAATCAAATTAAGGTCACTGTTTTGTGCTTTCTTCTGGAGCCATTTCAAAGCATAGAAAGTAACCGGATGCTCCTAAAGTCTCAAATTCTCCATTATTCGCCAAGATAATGTCCAACAACTTGATAATTCAACATCAATCACTCCGCACTGGAATTTACAAAGAGGTACAAGCAAAGGAAAGTAGAGTAGAATTACCGGTCGCTAGCGTGGTCAAGACGATATCCCTCCAATTGTCCAACACGAAGGAGAGCGGACTTTAATGGGTCGAGGAGCATGCCGTCGCTCCCTCGTTTTTTGTGATCCGCGAAGGGGTTGAGGCGATAGAAAATGGGAACGATGGCATGGTTCACGGCGTCCCTGCACTCCAGCATCGGGCCAGCACTCTGAGGCAGTTCTCGCTGGAAGCGTACTCTGGTGAGATGATGGGTATTGATATCTTCGACTGCCCGATGGCTTCGACCAGCGCGGGGCCAACTTCCTCGTCCATGAACACGCTTATCCTCTTGGCGGCCAAGCGGGTGGCGAGGGGATCCGCGAGATGCTCGCGCGCATGCTCTCCTCTAAAGCTCAAGACCACTTCGTACCGTGGCGGTGCAGGGGATGCGGATGATGATGATGATGATGCTGCAGCATAATAGTAGGGGACGTCCGTCGTCGAGAATTGATGGGAAATTGCCTGCAACTCTTTGGCCCTTTTAACTTGAGTCCGGAGGGAAGTTGGATCAACACTTCCCAGTACCAGAATGATATAAATATATGGCTTAATATCCTAAAAAACCTTAGACTTAACTTTTGTCCCAATTTTACTTTTTATCTTATAAAAAACATTCAACTTTAGGTCATGTCTCAATTCTACCATAAACTTTTTTTTGTCCCATAAAAATCCTCAATTTTAGGTCATGTCACAATTCTACCTTAAACTTTTTTATATCCTATTGGAAAACCTCCAACTATAGGTCTTGCCCTAATTTTACCGTCTAGTCTCAATTTTACCCTAAAATTTTCACAATCTCATAAAAAATCACAAACTTTTACTTGGGTCATAAATCTGTCTCCATTAACTCTCAGTCCAAAATTTCTCATTAACAACTGAGGGATGGAAGACTCCCAAGCAAGAGCTGTTCAAGCGTCTTGAGTGTGAGCTCTCCAACCACAAAAGATGGAACATGAGAGATCAAAGACCGAGCGCAAAATCACTACGAACGCGATTTTGACTGAGGGTTAATGTAAAACAAATATGTGACTCAAGTAAAAGTTAATGATCTTTTATGAGACAAAAAAAAATTATAGTGAAATTGAAACTGTACCTAAAGGTGGAATTTTTTTATGGGACAAAAAAGTTTAGGGTAAAATTGGGGGAAAAGTGCCAAAAAAGTCCTAAACCTTTTGCATTAGTGCCAATTTAGTCCTAAACCTTTTTTTGGTGCCAATTCAGTCCTAAACCTTTTGCATTGGTGCCAATTTAGTCCTAAACCTTTTTTTGGTGCCAATTAAGTCCTAAACCTTTTAAATTGATGCCAATTCAGTCCTAAACCTTTTATTTTTGTGCCAATTTAGTCCTTAGGGCCAATTTTGATCGGAATTTGCCGACGTGGACGCCTGCCGACCGGCGGCCGGTCACCGACGCCGACGTGGCGCTGACGTGGACAAATTAAATAATATTTTAATATTTTTTTGAATTTTTATTTTTTTCCTTTTTTTTCTTTTTTTTTCCACTTTTTTTTTTTGGTTTCTTCTTCATCTGGCCGGTCGCCGGTCCGGCGACCGGCCAGAGGCCGCTGGCCGGCGAGCTCGACCTCGCCGGCCACCGGGAGGGCGGCTCGCCCGGCGAGGCCGAGCCTCGCCATGGTCGGGCGAGGCTCGACCTCGCCGGATCCGGCAAGGTCGAGCCTCGCCAGCTGCCGGCGAGGCCCGACCTCGCCGAGATCCGGCAAGGTCGGGCCTCGCCCGACCATGGCGAGGCTCGAGCCCTCGCCGGGAGGCGCGGCGAGGGCGAGCCTCGCCCGACCATGGCGAGGCCCGACCTCGCCGGAGGCCGCGGCGAGGGCGAGCCTCGCCCGACCAAGGCAAGGCTCGAGCCCTCGCCGGAGGCCGCGGCGGGGCGAGCCTCGCCATGGTCGGGCGAGGCCCGACCTCGCCGGATCTGGCGAGGTCGACCTCGCCGATCCGGCGAGGTCGGGCCTCGCCCGACCATGGCGAGGCTCGCCCGACCATGGCGAGGCTCGCCTCGCCGCGGCCTCCCGGCGAGGGCTCGAGCCTTGCCCGACCAAGGCGAGGCTCGCCCTCGCGGCCTCGCCTCGGGCCGGTCGCCGGACCGGCGACCGGCCGCAGTAAGGAGGAAGACAACCAAAAAAAAAGTGGAAAAAAAAAAAAAAAAAGGAAAAAAATAAAAATTCAAAAAATATTAAAAATATTAAAGTTATCCACGCCGGGCGCCACGCCGGCGCCGGTGACCGCCGCCGGCCGGCAAGCGCCCACGTAGGCAAATTCCGGTCTAAATTGGCCGGAAGGACTAAATTGGCACAAAAACAAAAGGTTTAGGACTGAATTGGCACCAATTTAAAAGGTTTAGGACTAAATTGGCACCAATGCAAAAGGTTTAGGACTGAATTGGCACCAAAAAAAGGTTTAGGACTAAATTGGCACTAATGCAAAAGGTTTAGGACTTTTTTGGCACTTTTCCCGTAAAATTGGTATTGGACCTAAAGTTGAGGGTTTTTTATGAGATAAAAAAAGTTTATTGTAGAATTGGTATTGGATCTAGAGTTGGGGGGTTTTATGGGATAAAAAAAAGTTTAGGGTGGAATTGAGATATGATCTAAAGTTTGAGATTTTTTAGGATATTAGGCCATTTCCATTTACCAACGGTTAAGATACGCCACGGAGGTATTGTGCCAGGTAAAGAGGATTTCCGTCCCCCGCGGAAGCGTGCACCTAATTGAGTTGGAGTTTGATTACGGAAAGGTGGTTGATTTCAACGGGAGAGGTTGCGTTGAAGGGTGGCTAGGAATACGCGCTGAGAAGCGAGAAGCAGCATTCGAACCTGGAAAATCGTATCTTCTATTTTCTGATGGCACAGGGACATCATCTTAACATTCTTCTTGCAAGTATATGATACGAAAAAAAAAAAAACTCAAGATAACAAGTATTTTGTTGCCCCCTCAGCTAAGAGATAACCTTAATATGTATATTTTATTGAGTAACATATCTTTTAACAGCAGGTAGCTGTCCCTAAAGATAATGTTCATTTTGTATCTTCACCCAACATTTTAAATTGGGTGAATATCACGAAAAACCTTAAACTGGTATACATGTGATAAATTTATCCAAAACTAATTTTTTGACCATCAAAAATCAAAACTGGTACACCTGTGACAATTTTACCCTCCGTCAATTTCCGTTAAATTCTATGGTTAAATTGCTAAGTTAGATGAGACGTGACAATTGACGGATGTACCAATTGGAGGTTTTACCCTCCGTTTATTATAGATATACTAGTTTGTGATTTTTTTTTAGTATTAATCAAATTTAATGGAAGGTAAATTTGTTACAAATGTACTAATTTGGGATTTTTAGTTGTTAAAAAATTAGTTTTTTATAAATTTATCACAGGTGTACCAGTTTGGAATTATTCGTGGTATAAACCCTTTTTAATAAGGGCAAAAACCATAAAAAATCTCAAACTATGCCCTAAACTTTTTTCTGCTATACCAAAAATCCCAAACTTTTACTTGTATGATACATTTACCCTCCGTGAATATTCTATTAATAAAGCACCGTTAAAAATCTACCTATATGGACTTCGGAAAAGCAAACGGTATTGACATGACGCCTCGTGGTTTGAGTGAAATAAAAACGACATTGTTTTGGCTAAAAAATCATCTGATAGAACCTTGACGGAGGATAAATGAGTCACGATAGGCATAGTTTGAAATTTTTGATGGCTTTTTCCCTTTAAATTACCCTTTTTGCTAGAAACAAAACTTTCCGGCACAAAAAGAAAGTATCTAATAAGTCGACCCAAGGTCAACTAAATAGAGACCATGAAACAGAATTAAGAATTGCTACAACAACTCAGATGAAAAAGAATAAAAGAGAAAAAAAAAAGAGAAAAGAATCTTGATGGGAAATTACCAAAAAGTCATAAACATGTTGTAATTGTGCCAATTCGGTCTTAAACCTTTTTTTTAGCCAATTTAGTCCTAAACCTTTTGCATTTGTATCAATTCAGTCAATTCGGCCAATTTTGGCCTATCGAGATTGACGTGGCACGGCCGGCGCTAACATAGACAATTTTTAATAATATATTAATTTTTTTCAATTTTTTTATTTTTTTTCTCTTTCTTTTTTTTTTTCTTCCCTTCATCTTCCTCCAACCGGTTGCCGATCGGTGACTGGCCAGAGGTAAAGGCTGGCGAGGTTGACCTCGCCGGCTCCTAGCGAAGCTCACCCCCGCCAACCACTAGCGAGGGCGAGGTTGAACCTTGCCTAACCAGCCTCGCCATGGTTGGGCGAGGCTCACCCAGCCATGGCGAGACCAACCTCGCCCTCGCCTACCAGTGACCGGCTAGAGAAAAAAGATGAAGGGAAGGAAAAAAAAAAGAGAAAAGAAAAAAAATAAAATATTATAAAAAATTATTCACGTCTGCACCTGCACCGGCCGGCCAAAATTGGTCAAATGGATTAAATTAGTACAAATACAAAAGGTTCAGGACTCAATTGATTAAAAAAAAGATTTAGAATTGAATTGACACAATTACAATAGGTTTAGGATTTTTTTGGTAATTCTCCTTAATCATGAGTTGTACTACCTAATTCCATCCTCACATGGCCTTCACAAGTAAAGTCGAGCTTTCCTAGCATCACCGACAAATATGAAGAAATTAACTTAAGCATACGTTTTTTACCCAAAAAAAAAAAACTTAAGCATACGTTAATTTGACTTTCAATATAAAATTTTTCTGTGATAAAAGATTCCAGCCAAACTTTGAGACAGATGCGACGCGGGGAGTATCAAATTTGACTTTCATATATTATTTGATAGATTTAGGATAATCTTTATTTAATGGGTATTTAGATTTATCAACTTTGGATAATTTTCTTAGAGATTTGGGTAATTAAATACTAGACAACATTTTAAAAGGTTTTATTCACTTTTTTGATATATACGTATATAATATATATATTTTTTGGTCGGCCAGGTGAATTCCTAGACTTTGGAGCTCCTCGGCCAACGTGGGGAAATCCCACAAACCCATAATACTTTTTTTATTTGTCTTTTATCGAGGATTCTTAGGATTTTCCGTATCAATTTTTTTAATACGTTTATCCTTCGAATTAATAGAAAATTAAAAATTTTATCTATTGCTCTTCATGTGCATTTACGCAACTCGTGTTTACCCGAATCTACCGTGCCACTTTGGTATCAAAACGGGAAGATCTTGAGAACACAATGTCTGGTAACAACAGCTTTGGGAACAATCATCTCGTCGACGAGGATCGGGAGCTGTAATCTCTTTGAGAAGATTGAATACAACCATTAATCGGTGGGAAGGTCGAACGGAATGACTTCTTGGTTCGAAGTCCTTGAAGAGAAAACCAATTCGGGGCCCGGTATGATGGCTACGGAGGTCGTGGTGGCGCTGTGATGGCTACAGGGTTCATGAAATCTATGGAGGTTGTGACAGATATGACGGAGTCGGCAATTGTTGCAATGACGGTCGTCTTGGGAATTGCAGTCACACATGACGGGATAATCCAGCATTCAGAAACTGACATGGTTGGAATCGGTAAAAAAGAGTCACAACTCGTAAAATGCGAACGTAAAATAGTCTAAAAGCCCTAATGATTCACAAATAATTGACAATTGGAAAGCTAATAAAAAAAAATGTAAATAAGATTGGGTAGGATCTACTCAACCGAATCCCTAAAAACATCAGCTGAACAGGGCAACTCCGGTAGGCTCTGAAGATCGGAGCATCTGAGGATGTGGAGTTCCTGGAGACGAGTACGGCGGGAAATACTTGGAGGTAGGCCAGAAATCCGAGTATCAGACAGTTTCAGGATTGCCAAGGACGACAATGTGCCAATGTCACAATCGATTCTCCCCTCTAATCTCTGGCATAACGAGAAATCTATCACTTCTAGCTTCTCCAGATTTAGTATAGCTTCAGGAAACTCCCGTATGCAAGTATCCCTCATCCTCAGCACTTTCATAGCTTTCAGATCCTTGACAGAAGGTGGTACCTTCAGAATCGAAGTGTGAGATAAATCAAGGAATTGCAATGAGCTGAGCTTCCCTATTCCATCTAGAAGATAGGATAGACTCTGGCAGTTCTCCAGAGACAGTTTATTCAGTTTCTCCAGTTATCCAATGGACTCCTGGAGGGTATTGATTTTAGAGCCGTCAAGGGCGAGATATCTGAGAGACATTAAGTGCCTCATCGAACCGGATATTTCATTCAGGTGCTCACAATCACGAGCACTGAGACTTTTGAGCATCCTCATGGAATTTTGTTTGAAATCAATCCGACAAATGGAAGTTCCATCAATCACCAGCTCTTTCAAGTCTCTGATGGGACCCAAATCCGGCAATTCACGGAGGAGACTGCATCCCTTCATATTTAAAGAAACCAACTTCTTCAGATTACCAAATGATGGATGGATAACTGCTAATTAGAGCAACCTTCTAGAATAAGTCTTTCCAGCTCCATCGAAGCAGGAAATTTTGGAGTGGCATTCAAATGGACACAACCAGTTAGTTCCAAAACTTTCAATTTCCTTGGCTGCAAGACAAGTAAGATATGATACTAAATGTTTAATTCCTGATAAATAGGTCGCCAAGAGGAAAGATGTATGTAGATAGTAAAATTTATTCCCCACCTTCTTAAGCAGCTCCCAGCCTCTCCAGTCTTCGTCAACCGGACTCCACGACAAATCAAGAATCACCAAGTTCTTTAAATTCATATCTAACTGATCGTCAAAAATCTTGGGGCACCCTCGCCAATCAAGCCACCTTAAGCTCAAAAGACGATCTGCAAAGTTTCCCCGAATATCAGCCTGATCCAGCTTGAGGAACCGCAAGCTCTGTAAACCTTTGAATTGATCGCATCCAAAAAAGATATTCCCTTCAGTTCCGTCACCAAACTCCAGCCTGAGGGCTTCAACTTTCTCAGTGCCCTGTCAATTAAGCAAAACAAAATTAACTTAAAAAAATGGAGCTGTCTTTTAGCACCAAACTCGACAAGTAATTGAACGGATCAACAACAGTATCAATTGGCATCTAGAGTAAAAAGATGTGGCGCAATGCTCCCAGAAGTTACCTTACTGTTATTTAGTACATGCAGTGCATCTTCGTGATCGCACAGTCTACTGCACTTGCAAGGTTCAAATTGGTTTTCATTCTTGACCATTTTCCGGCCGAAGGTTTTCAGTATTTCATGCATGCAAAGTTCTTTATCCTCTCCGATTTCTACCAAAGACCTGGGCATGAAGAGCTCGAATCGATGTGGAAGGAAAATACCTATAGTCGTCCCACATGTAAGAGGGGATTCTCTTGTCCTTTCCAATGAAGAAGCATGCTATATAAAGAAATATCTACCGTTCATTCTCATCTAGGTTGGTATAGCTCTTCTTCAAGGCTGCTTCGACTCTCTTATGTGGAGCTACTTCCAATGCATTCAATGTTTCCCTCCACACTCATTGATTTCACAAGAAACAAAGATGAACCTACCACCTTGAGCGCTAAAGGAAGCCTGCCAGTAGCAGCAACAATTTCTCTTGACAGATTCTTGAATTTCTCACGGGGAGAATCCGTTCGAAAAGCATGCCTACAGAATAATTTCAGAGCTTCATCTTGTTCCATCACTCCAAGGACAAAACTTTCCGCACCATTGATGTTTCTAAGGACATCTTGTCTTTGGGATGTCAGAATTGTTGGTTATGTCTTAAGGACCATTTTCGGTCATTTTTGTTCTGGTCTGTTAACTGGTTGTTTTTTGGTTTTACTTAGTCAACAAGATAGTAGGAGTTTGTTGTTTTCAGTTCCTATTTTGTTGCTGGTTAGTGGTGTAGTGGTTTTGGTCAGTTACTAAGTTAGTGCAATTCAGTTTTCGTTGTTTTAAAAGAGCTATGTACTCTTCTCGTTTTTGAGAATGTAAAAAGTGCATTTCCAGATCAATCTTCTCTCGTTCTTCTACATTTGAGAGCACATTCTCTGTAACAACAGAGAGCACATTCTGTGCAACAAAACTGGTATCGGAGTACTATTGATCTTAAGGGACTTGTGAGAGAGTGCTAAATTCGAAGTAGAGCAAGAAAGATGGAACAAACTGGTGTACCTGCTGCCTCATTCTCAACCATCACAGCTCCAATCTTCGATGGAGACAACTACCAGGCATGGGCAGTGAAGATGCAAGCTTTCATGGAGGGTGCAGACCTATGGGAAGCTGTGGAAGAGGACTACGAGGTTGATGATCTACCCAACAACCCAACTATCAATCAAATCAGGTACCATAAAGAGAGGGTAACCCGAAAAGCAAAGGCAAAATCTTGCTTGTTTTTAGCTGTCTCTTCGACCATATTTACTAGAATCATGAAAAAAGATTCAGCACATAATATATGGAATTATTTAAAGGAAGAATATGAAGGGGATGAGAGAGTGAAAGGAATAAAGGTGCTGAACTTGTTAAGGGAGTTTGAAAGGCAGCAGATGAAGGAGAATGAGTCTGTGAAAGAGTTTGTTGATAGGCTAGTTGATATAGCCAATAAGATAAGGGAGCTAGGGACGGATGTAGATGATAAAAGGCTGGTTCGAAGGTTTTGGTTGCGTGTTCGAAAGGTTTGAAGCAACCATTGCTTCCTTGAGAACACTAAGGACATTTCGTACATCAAACTTGTCAAGTCCTAAGTGCTCTACAGTGCTCGTGGAGCAAAGAAGGCTTATGAGGAAAAATGAGTCTATCGAAAGTGCTCTGCAAGCCAAGCTGAAGCTACATAGTGCAGAAAAGGGAAGAGGATGGAACCAAACTAGAAGACATGTTGAGGCCAATCATAGTCATAGTCAGGGAGGTTCAAGCAGTGGTGGATATGACAGGAAGTGGAATGCAGTTCCATGCAAGCATTGTGGGAAGAAAAATCATCCTCATTTCAAGTGTTGTAAGAGACCAGATGTGAAGTGCAGGACGTGTCACAAGATGGGCCATGTTGAGGCCATTTGCGGTGGAGAAGCATCAAAGAATGTAGAAGTCAAGGTCAAACCGCAGTAGCCAAGTGAAGTGGAGCACCTGTTTGTTGCCTCCTGCTTCATCTCAAATGCATCTAGAGATGGATGGCTCGTGGACAGTGGATGCACCAACCATATGACAGGTAATGAAGGATTATTTAGCAATTTAGACAAATCTGTGAAGTCTAAAGTCAGGATTGGCAATGGAGAACGCATAGAAGTAGAAGGCAAAGGTGATGTAGTGCTTGAAGGTCCTGGTGGTGTTAAGCTTATCACAGAGGTTATGTTTGTGCCAAAGATAGATCAAAACCTGCTGAGTGTGGGTCAGTTAGTAGAGAAGGGGTTGAAGGTCGTGTTTGAGAAGAGTGAGTGTGCCATAGGAGATGAGAATGGTCACATCCTTTTCAGGATTCCTATGAGGAACAAGTGTTTTACATTTGATCCAGTTGATGAGAATTTTGAAGCCATGAAAAGTATACAAGATGAGGAGGAGTTATGGCATAGAAGACTGGGTCATTTCCATAGCAAGGGGCTGCAATACTTGCAGCAAAATGAAATGGCAGTGGGGCTACCTATGTTGCAGAAGGAAGTAACTGGCTGTAGAGCATGTTTACAAGGCAAGCAAGTGAGGATTCCTTTCAAGAGGTCAAATTGGAGGGCCAGTGAAAAGCTGCAACTAATCCACACAGATGTGTGTGGTCCAATGCCAGAAGAATCACTGAACGGCAGCAAATACCTCATCACTTTCATAGATGACTGCACTAGAATGTGTTGGGTGTACTTCATGAAGAATAAGGCTGAAGTTAATGAGATTTTTTTGAGGTTCAAAAGAGAAGTAGAGAAGGAGAGTGGCTGTAATATCAAGACAATTTGGTCAGACAATGGAGGAGAATACACCTCAGGCAGTTTCAGGGCTATATGTGATGATGCAGGGATCAAGCACCAGCTCACTGTGCCATACACTCCACAACAAAATGGAGTAAGTGAAAGGAAGAACAGAAGTATCATGGAGATGGCCAGATGCATGCTACACGAGAAAGAACTCCCTAAGAAGTTCTAGGCCGAGGCTGCCAACACTGCAGTCTTCCTTCTAAACAGACTGCCCACTAAAGCTCTCAACAAACAGACACCATTTGAAGCATGGCATGGATATAAGCCTAAGGTGAGTAACCTGAAAGTGTTTGGCTGCATTTGCTATTCACTGGTTCCTTCTGTTAAGAGAGATAAGCTTGATCCAAGAGGAAAAGCATGTATCTTTGTGGGGTATAGTTTGCAATCTAAGGCTTATAGAGTTTATCATCCTGCTAGCAACCAGGTTGTGGTGTGTAGAGATGTGATTTTTATAGAAGATAAGAAGTGGGACTGGTCTGTGGAAGGTGGCAAGGCTGAAGAGGAGGTAGTGCCATTGCAGGTTGAACTAAATGAAGTGGAAGTCGAGGATCTAATTGATCATGTTCCTGCGAGAGGCACTAGATCTCTTGCTGAAATCTATGAGAGATGCAATACAGCTATGCTTGAACCAGCTAGCTATAAGGAAGCAAGTGAAGATGTGAAATGGTGTGCTGCAATGGAAGAAGAAATCAGAATGATTGAAAAAAACCAGACATGGGATCTAGTTGAGAGGCCCAGAAGCAGAAAGGTGATTGGAATGAAGTGGGTATTCAGGACAAAGTTGAATCCTGATGGCTCAATACATAAGTACAAAGCAAGACTTGTTGTCAAAGGCTATGCGCAAGTATGGGGGGTAGACTACTCTGAAACCTTTGCTCCAGTGGCAAGGTTGGATACCATAAGAATGCTGCTAGCAGTTGCTGCACAAAAGGGCTGGCAAGTATTTCAGCTGGATGTGAAGTCAGCCTTCCTGAATGGAGAGCTAGTGGAGGAGATATATGTTGAGCAGTCTGATGGCTTTGTAGTTAGAGGCAAGGAAGATTACGTGTACAAGTTGAGGAAAGCCTTGTATGGCTTGAAGCAGGCTCCAAGAGGCTGGTATAGTAAAATTGATAAGCATCTGCAAGAACTTGGGTTTAAAAAAAGTTTGAGTGAAGTGACTCTATATGTGAAGAAGGGTGTGGAAGGTGTAACTATTGTCTCTCTTTATGTTGATGATCTTTTGGTTACTGGTGATTGTGAAGAGCAGATTGCAGAACTAAAGAGAGGGCTGATGAAGCAGTTTGAAATGACTGATCTTGGACTAATGTCCTTCTTTTTGGGAATGGAGGTGCAGCAGAGGAAAGGCGAGGTATTCATCTGTCAAAGAAGATACCTAAGAGAGATCTTAAAGAGGTTTGAGATGGAGGAATGTAGAAGTGTGAACACTCCTATGAATCTAAAGAAGAAGCTGCAGAAGACTGAAGGAGCTGAGCCTGCTGATGAAGGTTTTTACAGAAGTTTAGTCGGTTGCTTGATGTATCTAACTGCAATAAGACCAGATATCCTGTATGCAGTAGGTGTGTGTCGCGACCTCCCTAAACCGGCCCCGCCACCTAAGGGGTTAGGCTAATGGATTACTAAGTTAAACCTAGCTCGAGCTCTCCCAAGCTCATACCAATTCGCGACTTAAGTTAAAGTTATTAACATGGAAATCAATTTCACCTAGGAGTCGCCACTAATCAGTTTTTGGTGGGTCGATTAGACACCCAAGCAAAGCAGGGGAGAAATGCTTTACTTCTACGAACCAGAGATTCAATGGGTACGGGGACTTGATTACACTAATTGACCAACTAGTGCCCTTTCGGTACCTAATCTTGCTCAATTCACCACCTAACGTGTTCACACTAACTGGGAGTTTAAAAAATTCATTCCTAACCAAGCTAAGGGAAGCAACAATCACTACATGAACCTAACATGCATAATCAACCACATGAAGATTTCTGGGTTTCTCTCTTGACCCGAGAATGGGCTGCTTTTCGAGGGGATTTTGGGTGGCTTCCCGACATCCATTTGGGGCGTGCGACCTATGGTTGGAAAGATCTTTGAATGTAGTTCCACTCTCTAGTTGAAAGTTTTGGCTAATTTTGGCTCGAAGTTCACGAAAATCTCACTTTCCTCTCCAAAAGTCAGTCTGGAACTTTTCTGGGTTTATGTTTTTTTTGAGTTGCGTCTGAGGGTGAGTTTTTGGAACGACCGTGAACTCCCCTCCTCTTCTCTCATCCCTTTTATTTTTATCCCCCAAAAGAACGTGCTTCAGAGATCCTATCCATCAAATCCAACCCGATTTTTAGCCCGTGATTGCCCATTTACCAAGCCTGCAAACTGAGTCTCTTCACCAACTTTCTGACTCCAAAATCATCATAATTTGCAGCTGTTGAGTGAGCAGGTTTGACTGAGATTATCACGTGTCTTCAGCAGCTTATCCCTGGCAAATTTTTGTCCATTTGTACTCCTAATGATGGTCTCACACCTCGGCCAGAGTTCACGCTGATCGGCTGGCTGAGTAGGATATGGTGGGGCCACAAATTTGGCTGCTCAGCAGCCTCGAATTGAGACCAAATCGTGGACCGGTTTTTGGAAGCTAATTTAAGTGCTTTAATCCATTCATTTGGTCGGAATTTTTGATCAGTTTGAAAGTTGAAGTATATTAGTTTAAGATGATAATCAGAATTTGCAATTTTCCATGCCCAAGTTTGCAGGAAAGTCCCTCAAAATTAGCCACTTTCTTGTCCGAGAATGCCCGATTTGAGCCAATTTAGTCCTTTTGGCTT